GGGTCCACGATTTCCAGCAGCCGTCGAGACAATCACCAGAGGTCGTTACATAGATGACATCTACGGCGGAGCAGACTCACCAGCAGAACTCAAGGAGATAGTATGGCAGTTACAAGGACTTTGCCAGGCAAGAGGCTTCCCTCTCCAGAAATGGAGCAGTAATTGCCCTCAGCTCTTGCATGAGCTCGGCCTATCAACAGAGGAAGAAGTCATTCAGTTTGAAGAGTCCGTCACCAAGGTACTGGGTCTGTGTTGGCATCAGTCTTCCGACACATTCCAGTACAAATCCAGAGACTTCAAAACAGAGACGATCACCAAGAGAATTGTCTCTTCAGAGATAGCCCAGATCTTCGATCCTTTGGGATTTATCGCTCCAGTCGTCGTCCAGGGGAAAATTCTCCTTCAGGATCTCTGGAAACTCAAATGCAGTTGGGATGACCCCCTCCCCGAAGAGTACATTCACCGGTGGGAGTCATTCCGCCAGGAACTCACCGAACTAGATAAAGTTGCAGTACCCAGATGGCTCAGAATCTCACCTCAGACAAACGACATCCAATTACACGGATTCGCAGATGCCTCAACAGTAGCTATGAGTGCTGTGGTCTACATTCGCACTCAGAATCTCAACGAGCAAGCCTCCACAGTTTTGGTCTGCGCTAAGACCAAGGTAGCACCGATCAAGCGCATGACTGTTCCACGTCTGGAACTTACTGCAGCTCTCCTGTTAACTCAACTCGTAACATCAACGCAGCAGATGCTCCAGCCAGATCAGGTAGAAACTCACCTTTGGTCAGACTCTGCAGTAGCTCTCGCGAGGATCAGGAGTCCGGCCTCGAGATGGAAAGACTTCGTCCACAACAGAGTGGTAAAAATCCAGGAAACTCTCCCGAATGCCACTTGGAGACACGTCAGTGGGAAGGAGAATCCAGCCGACTGCGCCTCCAGGGGCATAACACCAAGTCAGCTAGCAGATCATCACCTCTGGTGGACAGGACCTGATTGGATAAATCAGGACCCTGAAGACTGGCCACGATCAACTATCGATGCTCCACCAATGGACATCCCAGAAGTGGCCAAAGAAGCGAAACCAGCAAAATCTCACCCAGTCGTACAGAGAATCAACGAGATTGCCGAGCTCCTCAACAGATACAGCACGATGGCAAGGCTGTTAGCAGTAACAGCGACCATCAACAGGGCTATCGACAGATTCAGGAGGCCGCCAATGCCCCCGGGATCTATCTTGACGACCAGAGATCTCAACGATGCGAGATTATTTTGGGTAAAAATAACACAACACCAGTACTTTGTTTCAGAACTCAGGGTACTTCTCAGAAATCAGCAGCTACCTAGAAATCACCAGTTAGCGAAATTCACCCCAACTCTGGACGAGGAGGGCATCATGAGACTTTGGGGACGCCTCAAGAACTCAGAACTCCATCCAGAACAGATCCACCCAATAATCTTGCCACGTCAGTCCAGATTCACCACACTCGTCATCGCAGAAGCTCACCAGAAGACCCTCCACGGAGGGACACAGCTCACCTTGGCCTACACTCGGCAACGCTATTGGATACTCGGTGGCAGGGGCACAGTCAGAGCCTATATCCTACGCTGTACTATTTGCGCCAGACACCGAGCTAGACAGGCTCAGCAACAGATGGGACAACTGCCCGCAACCAGAGTCTCACCAGCAAGAGCATTTCTCCACACGGGGG